TACAAAGACCGTTCACATGATGATCTGCTGCGCACTGCCCAGGCTAGTTGTCGTAGTTGTAGTGGAGTCGCACGAAGACTTTGTCCGCCTTCTTGAACGGGCAGCCTTTGTACCTCCCGCGGTCCACGTCGTTCTTGTCCAGCGCCATCACCAGCTGGTCGTCCGTCTTCTTCTCGTTCTCTGTCGTCGCGCTGCTGTCGTCGCTCCCGCCATTCATCGGCACCAACTCGCTGTCTTCTTCTGCTTCCTCTGCTTCTTCGTCGCCTTCGTCTTGTCTTAGCTCTGTGCTGCTGGTTGTGGTTGCGACCTTCTTGGTGCCGCTGCTCCGGGGCGTGGTGGCGCGGCTCGCGCTGGAGCTGTCGGTCATGAACGACGTGTGGATCCAGAAGTAGAGGAAGATGCGCTCCTTGCGCTCGCGCTCGTCCTGGCCCAGCAGCTCCAGCCGCGTGTCGCCGCGCAGGATGACCTCCTTCTCCCGGCCCTCGAGCCTCTCCGACCCGCTCACCGCCTCAAGTTCCCTTTTGGTTGGTTAGTGGTCAGTATTACGTTGTTGTTGTTGTTGTTGTTGTTGTTGTTGTTGTTGTTGTTGTTGTTGTTGTTGTTGTTGTTGTTGTTGTTGTTGTTGTGAAGGTTGAGGTCGGGTACCGTTCGAAGATCATAAACTCTTCGTTGATCCACGACGGGTAGAGGATCATCGGCTGCGCGAGTTTCTCGCCGTCGGTGTGGGTGACTCGGAAGCGCCACTTGGCCTCCTCGCCCTGTTGTCCGTCCACCACAATGAGCTTCGGTTCACACGACACACACAGCGCACACGACACACACGACACACACACGACACACGCGACATACAACACGCGACACACACAACACGCGTACAGCATTTTCGAGGCGTCCCCATTCCAGGTCTCTGCTCTCGCCGTCGGACACGGGCTTGAGCGACTCCTCGCCGCTGTCGGAGTCCTCGCCGTCGTCGCCCTCGAGCCCGCCCTTGGCCGCCCTCTTCCGCCTCTTCAGCCACGACGCGATGCCCCGGCCCGACGAGCCCGACGACGAGCCCGACGACGAGCGGGACGAGAACTCGGTCATGGAGTAGCCGTCGCTGCTCGAGTC